GTATTGCTGGTCAGGTATTTATATTGCACTCATTTTTTTACCAGCTTGCCGATGCTTCTCACTCCATCTCCATGGCATCCAGTCCAAACTATGCTAGTTTGGAAGGATGCACAGAAAGTAGTCCTCTGGTTTCAAACCCAGATTAGATTGTTCAAGGTGGTATGGGAATGGAACCAAAAAACAGTAGACTGCATATGGCTACAGTTATGTCATGGACATGCCCATTCACCATGTGGCAAAATTGTGCCCCCGTGAGAATTATTTGATCATAGAGCCGCAGCTGCTATTGCAGGGCAGGGTGAGTGTTTTTTTTTTTTAAAACTGGTTTTCTTCCAGAACCCCAAAACATTCTATCAGATTGATTGGCTACTGGAAAAATTGACCCTACTGTGTTTGGAGGCTTTGACCTGTAAGTGACTTTTGGGCTGTTCACAGCAGAAGGCTGGATAGCAAATAAGGCTTCACAAACCATTCCATGATCTATCTCTTAAGATAATTATGCCTATATCATCTAGATCACATTTGTCAAGCACAAGCATTGTGGGCCGAATACAGACCGCCAGGCCATTTCATGTGGCCCTCTCACCAATCCGGCAGCTCCCCCATCATCTCCTCCTCCACCTTGTCTCAGCAGTCGGCAGCATAGAGAAGGACTGAACTCCCCTGCTAGATCCTGCATTTCTCTGTGCAGCCGCAGCACTCCCTAGTCTCTGCCTGCCCTGGTCTCACCAATCAGCAGACACTTGCAGCTGACTCTAGCCCACCTCTGGTCCTCCTCCAGACCCTGCACTTTCTGTTTCCCAGCTCCTCTCCCCAGCAGCACAAGGAAAGGTGGGGGTGTGCACTATGATGTAGGGAGGGTGGGGAGCTCTTGACTTCTGATAGTGTGGGGTCTTGACATCTGCTGTAAGAGGGGATCGGGTGCTCTGGACATCTAGTCTTACAGATACAACCGACCCTTCGAGGGCAACCCTAATGCTGGTGTGGCCCAAAATGAAATTGAGTTTGACACCCCTAATCTAGATTACACCTTTCTCAGCATTTTTCAGTCCCTGATGAAAGAAGACCCATGGAACCTATGAAATATTATTGTGTTTTATGGATATGGACATTAAATAAAAAAAATCTACTGTAAAAATAGAAGCAAGTAACACATTACCTTTGATGAAAACAATCTTAAAGACAGTTGAAGTTATATGAAAATTTCTAATTTTCTTGTGAAAATTGAGATACTTCTTGTCACTCCCACTTCCTTGGCCTTTCAGTTGGTACTTTATTGTTACAAATGGCCTTACTAACCAATAAGGATGCTTAAGAGATACTAGTGGGCTGGGTCAAGCTGATATTTTAATGTCAAAATGTGCACACAGTTTTCTATAACTCTGGTGCTAGTGATGACACTATCTCACCAAACATTTGTGGACATCTGACCATCACATCTATATGGGCTTGTTGTACATCTCATTCCAAAATCATGGACATTTATTTGGATTTTTAGCCCCCCCCCCCCCCTTTCATTTGCATCTTTAACAGCCTTCACCCTTTTGGGAAGGTTTTAAGGGTTTTTAAAAGAAGCTTGTGCTCATATAGCCTTAAGAGCATTCGTATGGTCAGGTGTTGATGTTGGGCGAGAAGACGTGGTTCATTTCAATTCATCCCAAAGGTGCTCAGTAGCGTTGAGCTCATGACTGAGTGGAGGCCACTCAAATTCCTCTAAACCAAACTCACCAAACCATGTCTTTATGGAGCTGGCTTTGTGCTGAATCTGAAATGGTTTTTTCTTACATTTTAGCTAAAAATTTTCTAAGATGTCTTCGTGTGCTGTAGCATTAACAGTACTCTTCGCAGGAAATACCTGAACTCAATCATTTGGAGTAGTCTTCACACTTTTGGCCATAATCTGAGTGCAGCGGTCAGGTGCCCAAAATCTTTTGGCCATATGGTGTATTTTGACATTGACTTTTTTCATTAAAGGTGGCATCTCCTGAAGTATTATTTTATCATATGCTCAGTTTTGGACACCCAGGCTTGTGCCAAATTTAATACTATACACATTAATGTATTAGTGATTTGTTTGTAAAATTGTTGGAGAATTCCTCTGTCATTACTAGGCATTTTAGGGTCTTCATTTTACCTTGCTGAGCCAATAACGTCTGTATTAAAATCCATTTATTCCTGGCCATTAGACAAATGAGCAGGCTTCCTTGGCAAGAGTTGTGAAGAGTGAGCTCCAGACATTAGCTCTGCAATCAATTCACTGCTATACATGACACGACGATGATTGCTGCCACCGTGTTTGATTACAAATTTCTTAGTATGGCATAGATGTCAGTATGATTTAATTTCTTTTATGAAAACATCCCTTGCAATGTGTTTGGTAAACAGGAACACTGATTATGTCAAGTTCTGTAAGTCTTGCACAGTAGTTGGCTAGTGCAGAGGTAGCTCAGCTGTAATTAAACTTATTGTTGCTGACAGAGGATACAAGCATAGAGATGTCAGTTAAAGCTGAACAAGGCAAATATAATAGATCCAGATACATGTAGCTCTGTATTCATTAATACATCATTAAATGTATTTTTTAAATGCAAGCAGGGTGAGAGTCTGAATTTGAATTAGTGTCAGTTTCTTGCAGTCCTCTATACAATAGAACTGAGAAGGGGAAGGAAGAAACAGCACAAGGAGACAGTCTATTGTGTTGCTGTGCTCATGTGCTAGTTAGGGACATGCTGAAGGGAGGAGAGAGCAAAGTGACGGGAAGAAGATCTCATCAGTCAGCTGTTTTTTGCCTATGTGAAGCCAAGCTATCTGCAAGAAGCCCCCGCAAAGTCCCACTGTTGAAAAAAAGACATGTGCTGAAGAGGTTACAATTTGCCAAAGAGCACATTGACTGGCCTAAAGAGAAATGGCGCAACATTTTGTGGACTGATGAAAGTAAGATTGTTCTTTTTGGGTCTAGCGGCCGGAGACAGTTTGTCAGATGACCCCCAAACACTGAATTCAAGCCACAGTACACTGTGAAGACAGTGAAGCATGGTGGCGCAAGCATCATGATATGGGGATGTTTCTCATACTACGGTATTGGGCCTATTTATCGCATACCAGGGATCATGGACCAGTTTGAATACATCAGAATACTTGAAGAGGTCATGCTGCCTTATGCTGAAGAGGAAATGCCCTTGAAATGGGTGTTCCAACAAGACAACGACCCCAAACACACCAGTAAACATGCAACATCTTGGTTCCAGACCAACAAGATTGACGTTATGGAGTGGCCAGCCCAATCCCCAGATCTTAATCCAATAGAAAACGTGGGGTGACATCAAAAATGCAGTTTCTGAGGCAAAACCAAGAAATAGAGAAGAACTGTGGAATGTCGTCCAATCATCCTGGGCTGGAATACCTGTTCACAGGTGCCAGAAGTTGGGTGACTCCATGCAACACAGATGTACAGCAGTTCTCAGAAACAGTGCTTATACAAGGAAATATTCCTTAAGTGATTCAAGGGAAAGCAAAAGCTTCAAACATTTTTCAGTTTATATAGTGAATGTTTGAGTTTGTAAAGAAGAATACAAACACTGCTATTTTTTTTAACAGTCTAATATTCACTTTTCTTCAATTTTTTTAGAGGAACAACACAAATTTGATATATTTTTTTCTTCATGTTTTGATTTGGAATAGAATGTGTAGTTTTCCCAATGCATTTGTGTGTATGTTAATATAAGCTATTAGAAGGATTTTGAGCTTTATTCACTTTTTTCAACACACTGCTATTATTTTGAACACAACTGTATATATATTTTTTTTATATATATATATACACACTGCTCAAAAAATTTAAAGGAACACTTTGAAAACACATCAGATCTCAATGGGAAAAAATATCATGCTGGATACCTATACTGATATGTACTAAGTAATGCGTTAGGAATGTATGGATGCCCCATCGTTTGATGGAAATGAAAGATATCAACCTACAGAGGACTGAATTCAAAGACACCCCAAAAATCAAAGTAAAAAATGACGCAGCAGGCTAGTCCATTTTGTTGAAATTTCATTGCAGCAACTCAAAATGGTACTCAGTAGCCTGTACGGCCCCCATGTGCTTGTATGCATGCCTGACAACATCGGGGCATGCTCCTTATGAGACGACAATATCCAGATCTGGGGTATTTCCTCCCATATCTGGACCAGGGCATCACTGAGCTTTTGGACAGTCTGAGGTGCAACCTGGCAGCATCGGATGGTCCAAAACATGATATCCCAGAGGTGTTCTATTGTATTTAGGTCAGGTGAGTGTGGGGGCCATTCAGTGGTATCAATTCCTTCATCCTCCAGGAGCTGCCTGCATACTGTCACCACATGAGGCCAGGCATTGCCGTGCACCAGGAGGAAACCAGGACCCACTGAACCAGCGTAGGGTCTGACAATGGGTCCAAGGCTTTCATCCTGATACCTAATGGCAGTCAGAGTGCCATTGTCAAGCCTGTAGAGGTCTGTGCATCCCTTCATGGATATGCCTCTCCAGACCATCACTGACCCACCACCAAAACCGTCATGCTGAATGATGTTACAGACAGCATAATGTTCTCCATGGCTTCTCCAGACCCTTTCACGTCTGTCACATGTGTTCAGGGTGTACCTGCTCTCATCTGTGAAAAGCACAGGGTGCCATTGGCGGACCTGCCAATTCTGGTTGTCAGAGGAAAAGACGAGGAAGCCCGGGCAAATACGCCAATGCGCAATATGGCCACACCAGTTCACGCAAAGAAGTGCGCATGTGCATAGGCAGGCGACACATAGTAAAACATTCCTGTGCACGAAAACACACCAGCACACGCAGGGTGCACTAATTGTTGAGACTCAGTGGCCTTTATAAGGACTGCAGCTCTGCTCAGTGATTGCTGGATTATCGTCAGCCCCTCCTGTTCCTGTGTTCCCGAGTCTACTGCTGATTACCCATTACCGACCCACCTTGATCCTGATCTTGTTCCTGTCTGCTGCTCTGTGTATGACCCCGGCTTGATCCTGACCTTGTTCCTGTCTGCTGCTCTGTGTATGACCCTGGCTTGATCCTGACCTTGCTCCTGTCTGCTACTACTCTGTGTATGACCCTGGCTTAATCTTGACGTTGCTCCTGTCTGCTGTTCCATATTGATCCTGGCTCTGGCTACTGACTACTCTACCCATCCTTCGGGATCCACGTGTTCTCTGGAGAAACGTATCCTGCAACTGGAGCACCCACGGGTTCCATCTCATCAGGCATTTCCAAGCAGCAATACCACTGGCAACCCATGCTTCTTTAGGCACTGCACCTCCTGTTTCCACCTCCAGGGGCGCACTGCACTTAGCCGTAAGGGGAGCCCTCTCTCTATTACAGCCTCCGGTCCGGTACGTGACACTGGTGTTCAATGGTGTAAGCCGTGTACCGGGGTGGGCTCCCCAGGATACAGTGAAGTCGTGAATGAGGAAAGCAACCCCAAAACCAGCTTTTGCCACAACAGAATTTTTACTTAGATGTGGCAAATAAATACAACCACAAATGCTGGAAACATACAATAAATTTACATACACCCAGCCCAAAGGCTGAGACCCTTGTGCTTCAAAGCACAGCGCCTTCTGATGGATGAAGGTAGAAAGTGAAGTAATTTACCTACTCGCGGGCACAAATAAGCTGCCACACCTTACCTGTTGTTACCCTAAAAGAGCAGGAATCAGTGTATGGGTGTACGGTATGGGCTAGCCTGCGGTGCAGCACAACAGCTTACAATCTTACACAAATCTACAGTATTCCCTCTCCCATAACTGGTCCTGTAGCACGTGCCTGAGTATTCCTTCTGAGCAAAATGCCAGACTGGCTTGAGTTTGTAGGATTTTATCAGCTCTCTAATGTGAAATGTCACTTTAAGTTGTGGAGTCCTTCCAATAATCAGTAACCACACTTGTGGCTGACACAAACAGAGATCCTAACTAACTAACTATAGGCCTGGACTCAGTCTCAAGGCGCCAACACTGAAATGAGGTGCGTGCACAATCTTACCGGCCCGGGTCTGCTTTGCATCCGCTGGTGACTCTGAACAGAACAAATGTCTCTCCAACAAGCATGCGGTCTTGCCGTATATGTTGCTTAGTTCCTCTGCTCTCAGCAGCCTTCCTGGCAGTAATCTCATCAGCTTCCTGGCAGCAATCTCATCAGCATTCCTGTCAGCAATCTCTGGTTACTGAGGGGTGCTCTCACACCTTGATGTCATCAGATTCTCAACTCACAAGGCCCCCCTCATTCACCATTCTCCAGAACATGGCTGCTCTCTCTCCTCTGTGTGAAAACTCCACCTCTTCATGAATATAGAAATCTCTATGCAGTCTGAGGCTGTGTTAGAAAAACAGTGACATCTTGTGGCTAAACTGCAGAATGTCAGTCAAAACATTTAATTTACTCCACGCAAGCAGTATTCAAACAATGAGAGCTGTTTCCCCATCTCACAATGGTATATGCCAATCCAGCTCTAAGGTGCTGGGCAGTGAGCACAGGGCCCATTAGAGGACGTCTGGCCCTCAGGCCACCCTCATGAAGTCTGTTTCTGATTGTTTGGTCAGAGATATTCACACCAGTGGCCTGCTAAAGGTCATTTTGTAGGGCTCCGGCAGTGCTCATCCTGTTCCTCCTTGCACAAAGGAGCAGATACCAGTCCTGCTGATGGGCTAAGGATTTTCTATGGCCCTGTCCAGCTCTCCTAGAGTAACTGCTGGTCTCATCCATGTTCTTGAGACTGTGCTGTGAAACACAGCAAACCTTCTGGCAATGGCATCTATTGATGTACAATCCTGGAGGAGTTGGACTGCCTGTGCAACCTCTGTAGGGTCCAGGTATCGTCTCATGCTACCAATAGTGACACTGACCCTAGTCAAATGCAAAACTAGTGAAAAACAATCAGAAAAAATGAGTAGGGAAAAAAATGTCAGTGGCCTTCACCTGTAAGACCATTCCTGTTTTGGGGATCGTCTCATTGTTACCCATCTAGTGCACCTGTTGTTAATTTCATTAACACCAAACCAGCTGAAACTGATTAACAACCCCCTCTGCTACTTTACTGACCAGATCAATATCCCAGGAGTTTAATTGACTTGATGTTATACTTTGATTAAAAAGTGTTCCTTTAATTTTTTTTTCAGCAGTTTGTATATATATATATATATATATATATATATATATATATATATATATATATATATATTTATTTATTTATTTTTGCCCAGACATACACTTCAAGGATGTTTTTAATGAATATACTGTATGTCTGGGATATACGTCAGTATTTTATATCTGCCCACATCTTTGACTCTCGCCTCTTGCATCAGGCTATATTAGTTCCTACGCCTGAAATTGATGATCTCAATATCTATTCGATTCCTTGTCTGCTCTATGTATCTATTTGAAGATTTCATTTCTGGTTTGTTGCTAGTCTGGAGATTCTGGAAAATTTGATATGTAATGGAAAAACAATTAAACTATTTAATTAGTTAAAAAGAGCTAATTCTGCCAATTAGGAGCAGGGATTTATGAGAAAGCTTTTTTGCTCTAACAAACTGCGGGAGACATATTACTCCAATCACCTGGGGCTGTAATCCTCAAAGGTTTTTATGGTCCCAAGAGGCCTTTCTAGAAAGCTATGCCTTAGCACCATTTCTCCAGAAGTCATGATTTTTTAATGAGAGAAGCTTGATTAACAGAGTATTTAAAAGAAGGTGATAGGAATATGCCAGGACATCTTTTTTCTCTTTTCAGTTAGATTTATTTTATCTTTTACTGGAAAACAAACAGTTGTAGGCCATTGCCAATGACAGTTTGAGTTGAAAAACCACAAAAAATAATACACAGAGGCAGAAATATAAAACAGTAGATGATCAATCCACCGTTCATTTACCACTTTTTATCCTCTTCAGTTGCATATTTTTTAAAGCACATTTGCTGTCATTATGTAGTTTTTTTTTTTCTTGGCTGGAACCCCATGTGTTTTTTTTTTTTGCCATTTTTTGTCCCAGTAGGGGTTTTGTTTCACTTCCAGTCTTAAGCAGCATTTACACCAAGTGCAGTGGAACTGCAAAGGGGCTGGTTTTCCCAGTGTAGTCCCGCTACAAATCAAGATAAAATGCATTGTTTCCTATGAAGGTAGTTCACACCACAGTGGTGCTGTGGTGTGATCTAAAGAAAAGTATTGCATGCTATACTTTTCTTCAGCCAAGCAGATTGCACCTCAGACCATCACATCGCAATGCCACTGCAGTAAATGGAATTGTATTGATACATCACTCGTGTCATTTCCAAAACGTTCTGTAGAACAAAAAAGGTCAAGAGAATCAGCACTCTGCCCACTAGGGCACACCTGTGGCTGTGCATTCAGTGTAGCTCACTAGTGTGAACTAGACCTTGGAGACGCATCAGGAAGTGAAGAGAAAGCTCTCAGAGTAAGGAGAATTTCCCTTTTAGAGAGTTGTCACTGGAACAGATTTTCCCATTGAAAGATTCCCTTTCACCTGTTCAGCCAGCAACTTTTAAAGTTTTCAATGAATGTTTTAGAGAGTGCAAGGACTTCTTGTGTTAAAATGAATATATGAGATGTGACAATTTAATTCCCACAATTAAAAAAATAAAAAATCAGCATTCTTTAAAAGATTAGATGAAACTTGAAGATGATGTTCTTTCTGATCTTGTGTCAAGAGGCACCATCTTTGTAGAAATCTTTCTCATTCCCAAAACCTCCATTAGAATTTGCCACACTGTTCATGCTCAATTCTTCTGCCATAATTCACACACTAAATCTTCGATCTGAGCGTACGAGGGTTCACACTCTGTTCAGATTTGCATCCATCCTTTGTGTTTTTGGCTGCCCACTTCTTGTTTCATTGTGGACATCTTCCGGCCCCTCCTTAAACCGCCTATGCCATTCATAAACATTTGATTTCTTCATAGAATGTTCACCATAAACCTGTTCTAACAGAGCTAAAGTTTCACTTTCACTTTTGCCAATTTTCACAAAAATTTTATGTTAATCCACTGCTCCAGATTCCTGTCACTCATTTTCTGCCAACAGGGAAATGCACACACATATTATTTCTTCTACTACTCTGTAAATACTGAGTCAACTGGTCTGTGACCAAGGCGACTGCAAGTTAGTAGTTGTTAGAACACACTGGAGTGAAAATGACTGTGTAACTCACCACCATACTGCTATGCCGCAGGCATTTCCGTAATTAAATTGTCATACCTCGTACAATGCAAGTTCAGCTCTTTTCTGCATTCAATCCCATTCATCCCTATAGAAGATGTTGCTTCTGGAAACCCAGACAAAATTTAGCTAGCAAGACTTTCTAAAAGCCACCAACACCACAATAGTGGAGAGCACATCAAATACACTAAATGTTTTTTTTATACTGACCATATTTTCACTACAGATCTGCTGAGGATTTAGTGGGCTCATATTCCGCAACAGAAGAATGGTGTCTTTCAAGTAACTGACAGTAGCCCCGTTGTTAGGGAATGTAAACCATTATAGGGATCTTACTGCTATGAACACTAAGGTGCTAAAATCACACAGAGAGGGAAGCACAGTAGCTAAGTGGTTAAAATCTCCACCTAGCAGCACTAGGGTTGTTGGTTTGATTCCCAACCACGACACTCCCTGTACGGAGTTTGCATGTTCTCCCTGTATCTGCGTGGCTTTCCTTCAGGTGCTCTGGTTTACCTCCTACACTCCATGCAGGTATGTTAATTGGCACCTGTCTAATTTGGCCCTAGTATATGTATGTATGAATGAGAGTTGGGAACCTTAGATTGTAAACTCCTAGAGGACAGGGACTGATGTGAATGTAATATAGAAATATATACATACAAAGCGCTGCTGAAATTGATGGTGCTATATAAATACCTGAAATGAATAAATAAAATAAGAGGCAGTGTGTGAGATCAGCCAGTTGGCAAGGCAGCAACCATCAGACTTCAGGTGACCTCTGACCCTTAACTGAAGAATCATACTCAAAGCAAGTGTTCCCTGGAAGAGATGAAAATGAAAGGGAGGAGTCTTTTTAAAGCCAAATTACTTGTGTTCAGTAGCTCTCCACAAAAAGCCTCCCCTACCCACCAAAAAGAGACAGAGGTCACCCAAAGTGAGAAGTTCTTACGCATTTCAACTAAGGATGATGCCAAACAAAAGTTCTTAGGGTCCAATTTGGTATTTTATTGATTCCATAAAAGACAACAGGAAAAAAAACAAAAGGCATCTAAAGCGTTTCGGGGGCTCACCACTCCCCCATCATCACGGTTTTAAAAATAACTAGATATCTGTTAGACCCAGAGAAAAGCTCTGAGAAATATAATCCAAACCAGGAGGATACACTTTTAAAAAGAT